AGATCCATTTTGGACATTTCCGCCTAGATTTACGGCTTCTGGCTGTTAACGATGGCCAGATATCTAGCTGTTGTTAATGGCCAGGCGACCATATTATGGCCGTCAACGGCTAAAACTTTGGCCATTAACGACGACCAGTTCTAGCCATAGATCTTGCTATTTTTGACGTGATCCATTGGCTAGAAAGTACCATATCGGCGTACAGTCGACCATATCCAATCAGTCGTGCGCCATTATGGCCACTGCCGCCGCCGCCAACGGTTGTGGCAGGCGGCCAACAGTGGTTTAAGGTGGGTGGGGGTGATTTGGTTAGAAATTAAACTTTTATGTGGTTGACATATTTTAGCAATATCTCAAACGTAGGGGGTTAAAAAAAATTATTCAAAAAATAATAGTATATTAATAATTAAAAAGGAGGGCAATTTAGTCAATTACATAACATACACACCAATTTATTCTTTCCAACCAAACATATTAAAATAACATATCCATTAATTTATTTCATTCAACCAAACACATTTTCTTAAACATTCTCAGTAATCTTAATATAATTTATCGGTCAATTAATATAATATTCCCAATCATACAACATTTCATGAACTATACACACCTTTAATAAATTAATATCTTTGACTCTTGAGTCGGTACCACATATTAATAATAAATTGACATTCTGAGTTGGTACCATACCACAAACTTTCTCAGTCAATAGATTAATTCGCATTTGACAAACAATTCTCTCAAATATGTTTTATCTATGCAATTATAAATGCTTCTAAGATTTCACAAACCATATTCACATTTCACAAACAATTAATTCTCTCAATTAACCTCTTCTATAGAATTATAGAAAACTTCAAAGGTTTCCTTGCCCACCCACCAACCATTGTCCTTGAACATAGAATTCAACTTTACCCTTATCAATTTGCATATTATTCTATAACTAATTTTCTATTTTAATCCAATTATTTAAGAAATTTCTTCATTTGATATTATTAAAGGTTGCTACTTTAATTACTCCCACACCTTTTTAAGTCTCTTTTAACGTTTTGATCTTAACCTTTGATTTTTTTTTTTCTTTTGTTGTGAAAATCTTATTAACCTGGTTTAGTATTCATTGAACACACACTTTTAATATTTCATAAAACTTATCATAAAGCTTTTGAGATAGTTTTAGCTTATTTTCTTGATTAAAGATAGTTTTACCAATCCTAAAAGTGGCAAATGAAAGGATTAATTAGGCTATAATTTAACATTAAATAATATTCTTCACACCCATTATTCTAAAATATCGCTAAAATTTTGTGTTTTAGTATTACACTGACACGGCGACGGGGCTATGGATTTTATAAGAATTGTTGTATGTTTCAATGAAACATTTTGTGCATGACGTTGGCCTCACAGGCTTTCACTGTAACATTGTGATACACATAATTATTGGGCCTTTGATCTGATGAAGCAGGTCCTCGGCCTGGAAGAATAAGAGCCTTGAAGCCCAATCGAGTCCTTAGACCTCACTCAAGAATAATTGCAGCCTAAGTACCCAACAGGTGAGTAAAAACATACATTTTTAATGAGAGAAAATCACCCGCTCACTATGGTTTTCGAAAGTACAGATTTTCCACTGATTATGGCTTTTAGAACCTTTAGGTTTTTCAATCAACTTACTCGTAAAAGTTGTTAAAAATAATTAATCATCCCCTAAAACCCCAACACCGTCTGCTAAGTTAGCAAAGTTATGAATTCTATTATTTCCTTCCTCCATTCATGTTTTCCTTTCTCCCCTCCTTTTTTCTTTTATCCACCTCCTTTTCCCCCACCATTTTTTGTCTCCCTCACTTTCTCCTCCCACCATATTTTTTCTCTGGTGTATCACAATGCCAACGCAACTCCTTAGTCCCTAGCGATTAGGTGATTACACCTCTTAAAAATTAAAAAACTTTGCCAGTTCGTGTTAGATCACTCATTCATATTCCTAGCCATATGTCAATTTGTAATTGATGGAGTTGCTTGGGATACATTGAAGTTTCTCCTCTTTAAAAAAAAAAAAAATCCTTGCTGAGAGGCTAACTCATGCTGGGTGTTGTTCTTAGAAAGTTTTTATATGTCGGAATTATGAGCAAAGGAGACTCAAGGAGATAATTTATTGAATTCAATTATTATTGAATTGAGTATAATTGAATCAACATTGTCTATTTATACACAAATAAGTCATTTAATAAGGAAACATAATATTGTAATAATACCTAAAATCTCCTAAAATAAGGAAAAATAATATTGTTTCACAATTAAGGAAACATATTATTGGCATTCCATTTTGCACTTCAATAGTTCAACACTACTCCTCAAGCTTGTGGTCATAAACCATAAGTTTGTGTAAAAGATGCAAACGTTGGTGATTATGTCAGAGTTTGAGCTTTGATTGTTTGCCATTGGAAAATCTAACCGAGTATCTATTTGAATTGGAGGGATAAAAAGAGAGGCTAACTAAGCGGAAGCTGATTCAACTTGGAAGCTCTGATACCATATCAAAATTGTGAGCAAAGGAGACTCAATGAGATAATTTAGTAAATTCAATTATGATTGAATTGATTATAATTGAATCGACATTGCCTATTATACAAAAATAAGCTATTTAATAATGAAACATAATATTGTAATAATACCTAAAATCTCCTAGAATAAGGAACAATAATATTGTTTCACAACTAAGGAAACATATTATTTGCATTCCATTTTGCACTTCAACATTATATTCAAATTTGAAAGACTCAAAGACATAAAAGAAAGTGATAGCATTTGAAAACATGAAGATAATAGCAAAATAAAGGTTGAATATAGTGAAATAAATAGGATCAATTTAAATTTCAGATGAACTAGAAACTGGGCAAAGGGGTGTAATTGTAAAGAAAAAAACTATTTAAGTCCAATTAAGTCTAGAGACCTTTAGCAAGTACTAGTAGCAATTAGGAGTGAATTCGAGTCGAGTCGAGTATCTAACTACTCGAACTCGACTCGGATGCTACATGTTATGTTCTTAAAAAATAAATATATTTTAATTAAATTATCTGTTTTTTTTTTTTAATAAGTTTTAGTTGAATTAGTCAATATGTCAAATAAGGATGTTAGTAAGGTCTGTTAGTTGACTAATTGTTGGTTGTTAGTTTAGTTACTATTATGTACTTAAACTATCGTGAGCTTGTAACTTGTAGCTGCTCCACATAAACTTGTATAAATGTAAAAACAATAGTTCATTTCTCATTAATAAGAAAGAAGATTACATTTGAGTTTGTTCTAGATTTTTCTTTCAATTTCTCTTAGTTCTATCTACTATAGCTCAAAGCTTCACATGTTATCAGAGCCCTTCGACCAACGTCAAAATGGGTGAAGTTCCTTGATTTTCTTCTATCTTTAATGAATCTGGAAGAAGGTCAAGCTCTAAAAGTCTAGTTGGATCAATTAGCTTCTTAAACTCTAATTTGATGTCTTTATCAAATTTACCCATTATTTCGCCCAAATTAATGAGAGATAATCACTGATTTTGTAAATCACAAATCTTGTTCGTAGTTGGTTCACATGATCTTGAAGAGCACCTAACTGGATTGAATCCTTGTCTTGCTCAATTTGTTCGAGTACAATAAGAAGAATCAAGCTTAGAATCAACTACAAAACCTAATCCAGAGTATGTACTTTGGAAGAAAACTGATAAGCTTCTAGTAAGTTGGCTACTTGCCTCAATTTTAGAATCGATGTTTGTTGAAATCTCAAATTGTCAATATATATGCTGCTAATATTTAGCTCACCTTGAAAAAGGAGTTTGTTACTGAGTCTTGAGCAAAAACTCTACGTGTTAAGAGTTTGTTATAGAATACAAAAACGAACAATTTAAGTATTCATGCATATTTTGTCAAAATGAAAAGTTTTGCTGAAAGTCTATCAGCAACTGGAGTAGTTGTCATTGATGAGGAATTGTTGAACTACATCCTAGATGGACTCGAGTCTGAATTTGATGCTGCTGTTGTGAACATAACCACTCGATTGGAATCCAAACTTGAACCTGTTTCAGTGTAGGAAGCTCAAATTATACTATAAAGGTTTGAATTAAGGCTAGAAAGAGCTAATGTAATAATGCACTCTGTTGTTAATGCTGAATTTCATGGGATTAACGCAAATATTACAAANGAACATGTCCAAACTTGACAAAAATATCTACTTTGTAGCAGCAACAAGGGCAGATTTAGCTTTTGTAAAAGTAGAAATGACTGGCTCCTCTATTCTGTGACTTGTTTTTAGCAGTGGAAAGGGGTTTTTTTGGAAAAAAAATTTTAAACCAGCCAAAACACCCTGGGGTATTTTATAAATCCCTCAAAAATACATTACACTGATTTTGAGAGGTTTTTAAACCAGTTAAAACTAGTCCATAAAAAATCTGATAAGTAATGGTTTTTAAACACCTCAAAACCAATCTAATTAAAAACCCACCACAACTAGTGAAAAGAAAACTCCCAAGTAGACCCTAAAAAAATAGAAGTAATCAGATTACCTCCAATATTACTAATAGTAACCACTTTTAATATTTTAAGATTATCGATATTTTATATTATTTGATAATCAAGTATGATAATCAAATAATATTAGATGATTTAACCTAGTACCTAAACCCCAACAAACGCCCCTGAGAGGTAAACGTAATTAACTGGAATATATATTTATGCCGACGCTTGACACGTGACTGGAAGGAGTCCCCAAGTTAATTAAGAAGAAGAAACCTCCTTTCGTATTGTAAATAAAAATGGTAAAACTGTCTACCAACTAAAAATACCACCTTTAAGCTAAGTTATAATTTAAGTAATTATTTTATATAATCACTGAAGTAATCCAGAAAAAAAAAAAGAATTATATTGCAAGCCACGCTAACCCAACAACACAACTGCCCACTCTTACTGCCTATTTTCTTTGCATGATGTCCCACTCACAACACAGGCGGTTAGCCATGAACCAACCTCAGTTTCAATCTGATAGCTCCTTTTCATCTTCTCAATTACCCACCCGTTGCTCTTCCTTTGCCTCTAAGTCTGACTCCTGTTACTCTACTCATCATTCTCGTCATCATAACCTCTTCTCTTTCCCTCATTGTTGTTTAAATGTTTGGTCCGGTTCCAGGCTTTGGGGCGCTCGCTTGAAGTCTTGCAATAGTAACCAACAATCCTGCATGGCAACTCAACAGGGACGCGTCTCGTTTAGCATCCCATTGGAGACAGTAATTCATTGATTAATTTAACTTGGTTTTGGTTAGTGTTTATGTGTTGTTATATTGGTTTCTGTGTTCTGATATATTGGTTTAACTAAAATTGTAATGCAGAGAAGAAAGAAGGTCAGTCGGCAGCAAAAGAAAGAGGAACTTGAAAGAGAGGTATGACTGTGTTTTATATTTATGTTATAAGTTTGGTTTCTTAGTTTCCTTGTTCACATCATGATTACCGCCATTAGACAATGTAGATATGAGTTATACAGCTGTTAATTTTATTTCTTGATGAACAAGAAGAAAAGTTTGTGAACTGGAAGACTTCCGATCAGTTTGCATCCCAGGAATCATCGTAGTTTAATTACATGCATATCCTCTAAAGTACAGCATAAACGGCTTGTTCTAGTGATCAAATTTAGAAAACTTAAGCATTTCCCTAGGCCGCCATATGAATACAACAATCTAATTGCATTTAATTCAAGGCATAAATAGTCTTCGGTCGATCGACTTTGAAATAATTATCACCATGTGTTGCAGAAAAAGCTTCTGGTTAAATTCTGCGTCCTAAAGTCAATTCATGAGATCTCACCATACACCATAAGGCAATTTAAAAGTACAAAGAGACTTTTCTATTCAACCAACCGATTACCGACCTTGCTGTATATGGTTAACCTACTCTACGATAGCAATAAATGAGAACCATACTCCGCACTCATTATCTTTCTCATCTCTTTCCCACAAAAGGGAGAGCTAGAAAGAAATATTAACCATGCCTTCCTATGCATATAATCGTAGGAAAATCTTATGAATCTTGAATTGTTTTTTTTCTTATATTGATGTTTACCTTAAAGAAATTAAATTTTATGGAAGAGTTTTACACAAAAGAACCAATGAATTACAATATGTCTAAGGTTGACATGATTTACACAGACTTTAAAGCAACTCTATCATTGAAAGACATATATGTGCAATTATTCAACTACCCTTTTTGCTTGGAAGCAAAAAGATGATGTGGTGAAGAATATTATTCATCTATGTTGATGATTAGTTCATGTTGCAGGTTTCCATGCTTCAAAAAATGCTGAAGCAAGAAGAAAAAATGCATGAGATTTTTGCGGGCATACATCACAGTCATGATGCTGCCGTTCCTATCCCAAATTTTCTTCCTCCTAAGGTAACTTCTTTCTTCCTTTAGTTTTCATTATATAGCTCCAGCCACACTGTACCAAAACACAGTAATTTAATTTCTTGGAGTTGCATGTAGAAAACTGATTTTTTTAGAAATATTCACTAGAGAAGTTTAGCACTAGCACCTTGACTCTGTAAAAAGTTTTATATCTTGTCATATTAATATCTTAAAATGTGGGCTAATGGTAAAAATTATTACCTCATTGTAACATTCTTAAAGAAGAAAAAAAAAAAAAATTGACAGAAATTTGACTAAAATTGGTTCCTTTTTTCATATTTTAAAAATTGTATTCATCAATTCATTGAAAATCGTATGTTATTTGATGCATTGAAGTGATAAATTTGTATATTAATTATTCCATTTTGATTATTTGGACTTTCTCTTCTTTAGAAGGATGATAGAAGAGAATAATTATATTAGTCTAAAGTTTTATTCCGATGATAAACTCAGGCGAAGGAGCTCTTAGCAGAATTAGCTATGGTTGAGAGCGAGATCACTCGATTAGAAGGCCAAATTACTCAACTTCGACTTGGTTTGAAACACGAACAGGAAATGACTAAGGAAGCAAAATCAAAGCAATGGCAATGCGGTAATCTAAACAACCTTCAACCCTACTCAACAAATATGAACAACAATTCATCAAGCCCTATGAACAAAGATGGTAACGATCAGAAGATGGCATTTGAGACCAAGGCATTGCATTTCATTAGTAAAGCTATAAAAGGTGACTATAATCTCAGTGACTTCAGAACGAATGAGAAAATGGGAAACTTAACATTCTTCGGTGATCAAAAAGAAAATCATTTCCATGAGGAGGCTAAATTTCAAGATAAATTTCCCAGAAAAAGTGGACTGCTGAAGCCTGCAGCTTCGCCGTTGCGAGATCCTAGACATCCAACCCCAAGGGTAGGCTTCAACTTCATTTTTCTAGTTTATTATTCCAATTTGTATATGATTTGCTTTTATTTGATGGTCGTAAGATTAGTATATTATACTCATCTCCTTTACGATTTTGGTGTAATTATATAGCAAAGCAAACTTTATTAAACCGTGGGGTATTCAGATTGTTTGTAAATACATAATATTGTAGGCGCGCTAAGGGAAAACTTATATGCACCAGCACCAAGCCCGATGTCAAAACCTGGCACCGGTGCTGCGGTGCAGTTGCAATGCGTCCGACGCTGTCATAGCATCGGGTATATATACAGTAACCCAATACCACTGGCGTTGGTGTAATGGAGAAATTGCGTCTGAGAAATATACTCAAACGTTGCAAATGAGATTACTAATTGTATGTTCTGAATTACTTTGTTTCAGCCGAGGGAACGTATTAATACAGAGCTCTCCATGGATCTCCCACCGAAATCTTTGTCAGGTTCAATTCTGTTAGAAGAGAATATCCAGAATTGGCAACCCAACAAGCTGTCTGAGAACATCATGAAGTGTTTGAACTTTATATATGTTAGGCTATTGAGAACAGCAAGAGCGATTGAGTTAGAGAAATCAGGCCCTGTTTCCAGGTCTGTGCATGCCTCTTTAAGTTCAAGGAGCTTCAGGGCTGAGACCATCTCCAACTCAAAGTCGAACATTATGTCACAGAAAGATTCCAGACAACAGGATCCTTATGGTATTTTCGATGTGGAAGAGTCCATTCCAAGGGACATTGGCCATTACAAAAACCTGGTTATATTCTCATCCAATTCCATGGATCCAAAATGCATTTCAAGCTCCAGTTCTGTAACTCTGATAAAAAAATTAAGGTATGCTGCAAAACTTCCTGAAATAGTTGCACAACTATATTCCCGGAATGCCCATTTACATTCATTTGATTTCGCCTTTTGTCTTTGTGGACTACAGGATCTTGATGAACAATCTTCAGACGGTAAACTTAAGAGTGTTAACATACCAGCAGAAATTAGCATTCTGGATCAACATGTTCAACGCTTGTATCATGCATGTATATTATGGACAAAGCCATTTCTTCTCCTTTTTATTTTTTTTTTTAATTTTTTATTTCTTACTCTTTTTATAAGAGCTCATTTTATATCTGTTTCCATCGCAATTTTAGGGATTTCTCCAATATGGAGTGCCTAATACTCCAGAGAAATTGATCGCATTAATGAACAAGGTATATGTTAATTGTTTGGCTACATTGATTGAATTTTAAAATCAGAGGGATACAAAATTTGTTCCATGACCAATTAGTCATGACTGTAAATGGTTCCATTTCAGGCAACTCTGAACATTGGAGGCAACACCATAAATGCTCAAGCAATAGAGCACTATGTTTTAAGGAGGCCACCATCTTCCAAGAAGAAAGAAGTAAACATGACTGATTAGAATGTTTGATGTATATTTATGCAACTAATTTATCATGTTCGATTGATTGGTTTATAAATTTTCATTACACAGGTTGATCAAAAGGGTGAAAAGGATGATAAAGAAGCCATCGTTCGTAACCTTTATGGACTCGAGTCCACGGATCCTAATGTCACATTCGCTCTCTGCTATGGAACCCGTTCGTCACCGGCGGTAACTTAGACAAAACAAATATCCATCCATGCTCTTCTTCCGACCATTCTCATTCAATTGAAAATTAAAATTGTGTATGTGCAGGTGAGAATATACACAGCTGAAGGTGTTATCGGCGAGTTGGAGAAATCAAAGCTAGAGTATCTGCAAGCTTCAATCGTGGTGACCAACACAAGAAAGATTGCAATTCCAGAACTTCTGATACGAAACATGAATGATTTTGCGATGGACATCGATACACTGGTGGAGTGGGTTTGCCATCAGTTGCCTACATCTGGATCGCTGAGAAAATCAATGGTGGATTGCTTTAGGCAGGGCCATAACAGTGGCAAAATCTCTACTTCAGTAGAGAAGATCCCATATGACTTTGAGTTCCAGTATCTATTAGCAATATAAAGTTAATGCTACATAATTTACATGGAAATTGACACAATGGCTTCAAGGATATGAAGCTTTTACTTCCTGCATTCTGTATATGGATATAAGAAACATGTGAATGTTGAAACATTTTTCCTCCATTGATTTTGATGATTAATCATTCTAATGTTACCGAATAATTGAGAATATGGGATTTTGAAATTATTTCATCACTGTGGTTCATTCCAGAAATCTATGGGTATGAAGAGGAATATTAATTAGGTGGGAAATTGTGGTGGTTGAAACTTGGTTGTTTAGCATATTATTTAAAGTTGATTAAGCATCATCAATGTCAAAGGATAATGTTAATGATGGAATTAGGAAACTTCATCCTTCCTTCTACTTTAAGGTTTTAAAAGAAAAGCATATCTGTTTGTTTATTGCCATGGGAAACATATCTTAACAATTAGACCTGGCAAACGGGCAAGGCGGGCGGGTACGGGTTGGGTAGTTGTGGGTCGCGGGTAAAAACAGGTATGGGTAAACGGGTGAAATTTTGGAATGGGTAAAAATATGTATGACCCGTATCCGTCTGTACAGGTACGGGTGGACCCGCGGGTCACCCGTGTTTTAACATGTTCTTAAATACAAAATCAAAATCAAGTAAAACTCACTTCCTCGTAAAATTTCTTAGTTTCCTCACCTCCTCAATCAACAAAAACACATTAAAATTCTCAAAATCTAATCAACTTAAATAAAAAACCACATACAATACCTACTGAATATTTATGTTCAATTCCTTGAAAAGGACTTTCAAATCCCTAACTCCCCAAAATACTCATTAAGTCATCCAGAAGAAAAAGAGTAAACGATATATTCCCACCCGAGGTTTGACGAAATCCCAAGTTGGTACCCTAGGTTACATTTATTCTAAATTCTCACCCTTAAAATAACAGTGTTAGCAATTTTTAGGGTTTCGAGGATGCAATTACCATAATGCCCTTAACCCTAAATTAATAAATTATTTTTAACCCCTAAATTAGTAGAATTATAAAACTTACCATTTTATTTTCAAATTATGTCAAAAACACCCTTAGTCACGACACACCCTCGTCGAAAACAGCTCCATCACCTTCCCCGTAGTCCGTCATCCAAAACCCCTCTAGCTCTCGACTCATTGGCCCCTCCAATCGTCGGCATCGTTAGGCTTAGTGTTTAGGTATTCTTCACTAGATTCCAGTCGATTCCAACAGCGAAAATCCAATTGGACACCACCACTGCAACCACCGTCTCCAAATCTATAAAACCCCTATGTTGCCAGCAACCGTTTCTTTGTCGTGCTGACCGAGAGTTCATGTTCATCAATCATTTTTTGGTGAAGTGGTGGACGACAAACGGTGAGCTACCGTGGCTGGGAAGGTTAGGGGTTTTGTAGGGGAGGATGCAAGGAGTCAAATGGTGGTGGTGGTTAGGGTTTTTGCCGTTCAAAATTGCCAGAAACCGACAAAAACCAGTCACATGTCGCAGCTACAGTGGTCAGCGATCGGCGAGCGATGAGGGGTTGTGAAGGGTATGATTTTGTAGAGGGGAGGATGGGGATTCAAATGGTGGTGACAGTGGTGATTTTGGGTGGAAGAATCGTCGGAAAAAGGGTGAAAAACGTCGGGGATGCCATCTGCTAACGTGCGTCGAAGGACTGTTAGAGGCAGCAGTCTGCTAATGTGCGTCGCCCATGTAAAATGACAAATTTACCCCTTTACCGTTACATCAAACATTTTTCTATCACTTTAAGAGTAAGAATCTGGAATAAATATAACCTAGGGTACCAACTTGGGGTTTCGTCAAACCTTGGGTGGGAATATGTCGTTTACTCAGAAGAAAAATAAGCAAACACAAATTTCAATTACAAAATACAAACCTAATCACAAAGAAAAAAGAAATGTATATAAGAAACCACAATATTCCATCCAACATTTAAAAACAAAAAAAAAATATATTAAAAAAAAAGTTTCAACTTAACATTTAACAACTAAAGTTGCTAAACAAAAACTAGAGAAAATCAAAAAATTACAATCTGCTTGAATCGGAAACAATATCCCCAAGCAAAAGCCCATAAAGCATTCCTCCAATCGACCTGATCCTAAACCAAAACCAAACTTGTTCTTCTTAGGTGGTTGTTACGCTGGCAAATACATATATCTGGGCTGACTCGAATACCCATAAAATGGAGGAGGTGGCGGTTGCGTCGCCGCAGTAGAGAAGAGAGGAAAAGATAGCAGTGGATGGAAAGAAGAAAAGAGAAAAAGAAATGGTCTGTTATAAATGAAAGGATTAATGGAAGGAAGTAGAAAAATGAAGAATGAGAGCAGTGGCAGTTAGTGATGGCAATGGGCCGGGCTAGGATCGGGTATCCCTTGGCCTAGGCCCAAGCCCGACCTCATGACAAAGGCCCAAGCCCAGCCTGAGCCCATCACGGGTATGACAAGTAAAGCCTAAGCCTGATGGGCCCGGATATGACAAGTAAAGCCCAAGCCTAGCCCGATGGGCTTTTTGTAACCTCAAACCCGGCCCAAGCCCGCCCATTTTTGTGAATTTTTAAATACTAATAAATTTCAAATTTTTTTATATTTTTAATTCTAGAAACAATTTGTAAATATTAATTTATTTTCTAATACTCACCAAATATATAAATAACTTTCCATAAAGTGCATCCATCCATTCATGTAGGGTTTGGGAAAAATGAGTATATATATGTAGGATAATCTTGTAATTAAATATATAGTATAAGGGTAATTTAATATAATTAATACTAAAATTGTCGGACCGGGTTTGAAGACATACCCAGGCCTGGCCCGTACCCAAGGTCGGGCCTTAAAATCAGGTCCAGGCCTAAGCCCAAGCCCGCGAACATCAGGTAAAGCCCGACCTTTTTGGGACGGGACGGGCCGGGTCGAGTACCCGAAAATATCGAGCTCATTGCCATCTCTAATGGCAGTGGGTTAATATGAGAATGAGATGAAAACCTTAAATATTTTTTTTGTGTGGGTACCCGCAGGCACCCATGGGTATTACTCGGTCCACCCATTATTTTTACAAGCGGGTCAGATACGGGTAATTATTATGGTTACTTGTACCTGCCTGTTTTACTCGGGTACCCGTAAACCTGCAAGTACGGGTGCAACTTTGCTAGGTCTATTAACAATTAGGATCTCTTGTATTCTAATTTTAATTATATTACATCAACTTGAAATATTTAAAAAACAGAATATGGAAATAATTTAATTTATAAAATCCCTTAAAATATGATATTCCATATGATCTTTCCATTGCAAAGTCAAGGTTGACTGGTTTTGGTATTTCCCCATCCCATAAAAAGGAATAGAGCAATGCTGGCCTTACTCCCCTTTCTTATTTCTTTCCCTTACTTACTCATGTGGTAGGTGGGTGTAAGAAGAGAGAGAAGAGAGTAAGAAAGGAGATTAACATGAGTGAATAAGAGAAATAAGTAAGAAGAGAGAGTAAGACTAGCATTATTCAAAGAATATTAACAACTCTTGCAGTTTTTGGTTCAATTTTGTTTTTGACTTTTGGTTGGTAGTCACCCAAGCAATATTTTCCAAAATGAATTAATACAGTTCGCTTTCTTCATCAACCTGGCTAATGGGTCTCAAGTCTCAACCTAGTACTCACATTAAAAGTTGAAATATTAACCAAATAATGGCTTAATGACATTTTTTTATCCATAAACTTTTAATATTTTCCAAAATGAATTAATACCATTTGCTTTCTTCGTCAACTTGGCTAATGGGTCTCAAGTCTCAACCTAATACTCACATTGAAAGTTTACATTAACCGAATAATGGCTTGATAATATTTTTTTCATTCACAAACTTTTAAAATACCACTTTATTACTAGAATTTATATTCCATTTTCGATTCTAGTATCGTTGCAACTCCACACCATTACCATTCTCTTTCCTAATCATCACTTATTAAAACCCCTCAAACCTTACTCCGATTGACTCTCCCAATCGCTGGCAATCAAACGATTAAAGTTTACGCAATCACCTCCCTTAAGTTAAATTCTGATCAATTACAATTAGTTAACTATCAAAATCCAAACTTTCCACTACCAAATGATTCATTGTTCTCCCCTCTTCAAAAGTTCCAATATCTTAGACCAGATTTATTTTTGGTTTACCGTTTAAATATAAATTTAAATAATAAAAGCTTAAAGTGGTATTTTAAAATTTTATAAATAAGAAAATATTATTGATCCATTATTTGGATGAAAAATAGTCGTCAACTCTAATCTAAAACACAATTAATTATAATCATTCTAACTTTCAAACGAAGAAAAAGACTTTGATAATAACGAAAAATTAACTCCTGTCCAATTCATTAGATTTGTTTAATCTCAGTTTCAACAATTTAATCAAATAAATTATACAATATCCAATACTTACATCACAATCAAATCCGCCTAACTTAAAAAATCCATCTTTATCAGCCGCCAGTGCCACTGCCGCATCCCATCTATCTCGGCCCCAAAGAATACGATATGTCGCTAGGAGGTTTAAATTTATCCACCCAAACCCGAGACTCCAAATACAACTGCGAAATCTTCCGCGACACGCGTCCCATATCTGGCCGCTTATCAGGATCAACATCAGCGCACTCCAATGCGACACGTATTAACTTCTCTGCCACATCGATCGGAAAAGAATCCCTAAGTCTTTTATCAATCCACTTCCTTAATCTCCCCTCCCTTCCACTGCCATCATCACCTCCGTTCATCGCCAATCTAGCGGTTTCAGTCACCGAAGTTCTCATGAATTCGCCACGTGACTTGTCAAACTTGTATTTAAAAGGCTCTTCACCTGATAAAAGCTCCAATATAACCACGCCTAAACCGTACACGTCCGATTTCTGCGTCGGAATTCCGGTCTCCCGAAATTCCGGCGACATGTAACCTCTCACTCCTTCGAATTGCATCTTCTTACTACTCGATCTCTTTAACGATACAACCGGTTCTTCCTCTATTATTTCCGATATTTCGGTCACTTTTCCGAAATCTGAACCTTTATCTCTTCTTTCAGATTCCTCCTCCGATTCTCCGCACAACTGAGCCGTGCCGAAATGACAAATCTTAGCGTTAAACGACGGCTCCGTCACTATAATGCTACTACTCTTAATATGATTATGAACAAGAGTCAAGTTCAAGCCGGTGTTATTATGAATGTAATCAAGGCCATGTGCGAGATCTGTGGCGATCTGCATTCTCGACATCCACGTGGACAATACAGTAAAATCCGGATTCTTTGAATTTCTCAAACAATCAGATAAATTTGCACCGTTGATGAATTCATAAACGAGATAAATATAATCATCAGATATAGAAGCGCCATGTAACTTGATGATGCTGTTGTGGTGGCTCCGACAAATCACCGATAATCTCTCTTTCAAATGCTGCATCTGGAGTTTTCGACAAAACTTGCGTTGGAAAATGATGACGTCACGGCCGCGCAAGTTGCAGCGCCAACAGTTGGAGGAAGACGAAGAGTGTTTCTTCAATAAGAAATTGTTAGTGGCGGCCCGAATTTCGGAAAAGCTGTAGATGTTAGGGCTTTCGGAGATGGATTCCCGGAGACTGGATAAAGAAGTTCGACTTGAAATGGATGTACCTGAAGACGAAGGTTTGAATTGAGATGAAGAAGACGTGGGGGCTGCGTATTCGGCGCTGGTTGAAGAAGTAGAAGGATCGGAAAAATTCGGTGGAGTACGAGGGGATTGAGAGGAGCGAGTGCGGCGGGTTTGAGAGGAGTGAGTGGGGCGAGTTGGGGTGGGATCGGTGGCGTGGGTTGCCATTTTCGATTTGCACATAGAATTGGGAACAATTTTATGCAAAAATGTTAGTGGGGGTTTCTGTCTTTGGAATGAACCAATTAATAGTGTTTTATCATTTGTGGGATTAACTTTGACGCGATTGCCGGTTGGAACTGGGTAAGGTGAGGGAAAGGGGAGAAAGAGAAAAGAGAAAGGAAGAACCAAAGTCGTGTTAATGTGCGCATGATAGTGTCACGACCAATGAGGTTTTTTGGCGGAATTAAAAGACGATGATCGAGGTCGAAGACTTCCACATACTCAAGGTTTGCCAGTGACGTTAAAGTGGTACTCAAAAAGTTTAGAAACGGTAAATAAGTGCATTTCGTTATATGCTATCAGTAATTTCTGTTTGGTAATAATAAAAAGGCTAGAGGTGCGTTTGACTCCCTATTTTTATTTATATTCCCAATCCTATTCTCCAAATAATGTTTAGCACATTATTCCAGAAATATTATCCTGTTTTTAATTACTTTTAGACCCCATAAGGTTATTAATTTCACTAAATACCCCCTAAAAAAAGTTTAAAAATTAACAAAAACACCTCCATCAACCCAACTTGTTAGATTCCGACAACCACCGTCAGTGATAGCCGGAATCTGTACAACGGCCTAAATTCTGACCATAAATGGCCAGAATTTCACCGATCTGGCCGTCAGCAATGGCCAAAAAAATCTTGGCTATCGTCGACCGAAAATGACGGTCACATCTTTGGCGTCGCTGACGGCCAAAGATGGCCGTCATTTTGGCCTTTCTGACCGTCGACAATCATAACAGGTCGTAGATCTGGCCTTTTTCGACCAGATATGTGGTGGATCTGGCCGGAAAAGGTCATAATGATGCGTTACGGCACAAATCGGTAACAAAATTTTTCGGCTAGATTCCAGTGGTGGTGGCCGGAATCTGGCACTGCAGGTAGTGGGGGTGTTTTTGTCATTTTATATATTAGGGTCTTTAATTAAATTAGTAAACCTAAGGGTTTTTTCATAAATTTTTAAAATTTACCTCGTAATACTCCCCTATCCAATATCTCGATACTATCCCCAAAATCCTATCCAAAATACTACACCAAACGCACCTTAGAATGCCTTTAAAAGTTTGATATGTTAGTTTTTTATAAATTTAAAAATTTCTAAAAAACCCTCTAGGTTTGCTAATTTAACTAAACACCCCAACATATAAAAATTTTGTAAAATCACAAAAACACCTTCACCACTCGCAGTGCTAGATTCATGCCACTATCGTCGGAATCTGGTCAGAAAATTAAGTTACGACACAGACCCCTTCGGATCTGTGTCGTAACGCGTTGGTCTGGCCTTTTCCGATCAAATTTGTGGTCGGATCTGTGTCATAACGTGGCAAAGACCAGACCAGACCAGATCTACGTCCACATCTAGCCGTCGAGAGTTTTGTGGCCTCGACGACTAGATCTAACTGTAGATCTGGCCTTTTCTGGCCAGATCTGCCATGGATCTGGCCGAAAAAGGCCAGATCGACGCGTTACGACACAGATTTGATGGGTCTGTGCTGTAACGCAATTTTTCGGTCAGATTCTAATAGCGGTGGTCAGAATCTGGCACTGCAAGTGGTGGGGGTGTTTTTGTGATTTTATAAAAATTTTATATGTTGGGGTGTTTAGTTAAATTAGCAAGCCTAGGGGGTTTTTCTTAAAAAAATTTAAATTTACAAAAAACTAAAATATCAAACTTTTAAGGACATTTTAGTGTTTTCACTATTATCAAATAAGAATCACTAACACACGGAAGATACTTATTTGTTGTTATGATAAATCTTGGGTATGTGTAAGCCGTTTGACCCAAAGTTTGAAAGAGTGACAGGCTGACACGAGTAAAAGTTTTCTTATCAGATAAACATTATTTATTAATTTATTCAATATAATTAGACTTGGTTGGAAGAATTTTTGTTCTTTCTCCAAAGGGAGTGTGAATACTAAGTTGGGTATTGGCATGTGAACACCAGCTAACTTTATTTACTAATTCATAATTGCGTTGCGGTAGTCGGCCAATGAGAGAGAAAACTGAAGTGGGACAGATTGCTAGGAACTTAACTTCGCTATTGGACGCATGAAAGTTGTGGTTCAACTTTCTTTCTTTCTTTCATTAAACTAGGATTTGGGAATTGAATAATCTTCTGACTAGAGGCATTTTGGTACTCTACAAGGGCTGTCAAGTTACTTGAATATGATTTTTGGTAATGTGAAAAGTGAAATAAAATATGACACGACACGTTTTTTGTTATGAAGTTTAGAAAATGATGTTAATGGAATCCCGGATTAGAAGGTGGGACAGAGTAATGGAAGTATTTGTTATTTAGAATTAAAAGAAATTTAAAATGGTCAAGAATAAGATATGTTGGAACACAGAAGGAACAATTTCTTCGCTGTTAATCCAGATTGCTTCTCATAGTTGGTTAACTATTGATTTTTTTTTTTTATTCGAGGTTTCCGAACTAATTTACGTGTACATCAACTAGTTTTTTAGGACTCTGAAAACTTATGCTTTATTAAAAATTGAGAGGAATTGAACTCAAAACCTCTAAATAATATATTCAAGAATTTTTATCGAACAACCTAATCATCCAATGGTTAATCAAAGCGTATTGACTTGTAGATTAAGTTTAATCTCTCCAACTTTTCACTAACAACTATTGACTAATTCTATCATTTTAACTTTCCAATTGGATCATCCACACCACGTGTCACGTTTGTTTCTACAACTTATCTTCAATTTGGATTATTATTTGAAAATTTTCTCCATCACAGGCTTTTTAAGTTTGTTAAAATCTAAATTTTATAAAATTTTCGATAAAAGGATTTTATTATTTATTATTATTTTTGAAGTATATTTTCCTCTTTAAGAGCTTTAACCTAATAATATCAAATGTTTTAAAAAATTAGAACCAACGACAGCAAAAAACTAGATTGGAGGCCGCGAAAATCACGTTGACTAATTTATAAATGTCAATTAAATAAATTAATTGTCGTGTCACTTTCACTTACTTGGTTTACGATTCTATTCTTACGTTGAATTATTGAATTTCCTAACATGCTGACTTTTTTAATATTGGTGATTGATGTAATATAAATTAACTTCTTGTACTAAATTTCGAAGCCAAAAAATAAAAATTAATTAAATATAACAAACATTGCTAATTGGATAATCACGAAAGACCCTCAATTAGCTTAATTAATCAAATTAATTAATTAAGATTTTTGAAAGTTATTAAAGAGCTTACATTTATGGTTTTTTGACATTTGTAACGGAGTTATGAATGGATCAAGTGACTTTATAGGATTTTCAAAGGGTTTTCGATAATTTGAAGAACATCCAATAGTTTCTGTGGGTCCCACCAAAGTTTGATGAAATGACACTTTTCCACCCTTCAAGTTTAAAAATGACAATTTCCTACCCTTCATTAGGTTCAATTATGTTTTCTCATTTTTTGTTAATATTTTATTAGAAAGAGGAAAGTATCCTTAAGAAATTGACTTTATAAATTTTTAATTAGCTAAAAAGTCAAAAAAGAGAAAATAGTTAGTCCCACCTAAAAAGTTATGAATAATGTTATGAAATTATTTAAAGTTAAATCATCTTAATATTTATTTATAATGTCATCAATATCTCATCCCTATTATTCAATAATCTATTAAATTTATAATGTTTTTCATAATATAATGTTTTCCATTTTTCCTAATTAATATAAAAAAAAATATTCATAATTAATTAAATAAACAAAGAAAAAATATCTTTACACTTAAACTAATAAATAATCTAGAAAAGACTTTTACTTAATTAAATTTTAATTTATAATAAACTAATTAAGAAATAAATTATTTAAAGGTATTTTCGTCTTTTCACTTAAATATTAATAGAAAACACTAACAGAACATAACGAATGGTGGGAAAATGTCATTTTGAAACTTGATGGGTGAAAAGTGTGATTTCATCAAACCTTGGGTGCGCAATGTGTTCTCCCTTTCTGGGGTGGTTGGAAACATGGTTATCAAATCGTGTATTGTATCGTGTATCGAAAACCTAATTTTTTGAATCGTGTATCGCGTATCGTATCGTATCGTATCGTAAGATACGCCTTTTTCAAACAAATTAATAAAATAATCAAAATTTTCTAAAAATTAATATAATCCCCAAGATTAATTAAAGAATTTTGTGGTATTATTGACTTTAAATTGCAGTATTACATAATCAAAATTAATCATAAAATTTCAAGATTAATATTAATATCTATATCTCCACTTATATTTTGTTATCATGTAAAATGGGCAATATATATTCCTCTTCACTTTCTTCATGCAAAATAGGTAAATTTGGACAGGTTTTAGTGAATCGGGTTGGGTGACCCGGTTTCGACCAGATTTTTTTTTTTTGGACGTTTGGCCCAAATTAATAAAGTCGTATCGATTTGTATCGATATTTTTAGGGATACGAACGGATACGTATCGTATCGTAGGATACATATCAACATATCGAATAGTTTAGGATACACTCTCTGATACGTATCGTTGGCGACCTATATCGAATCTTATCGTATGATACGTATTGGGTATCGTAAGATACTAATAACCATGGTTGGAAATATTAACCTTTCAGACTCTAATTATATAAAAGGTACAATACAATGACACCTTCCCCGTAATAGTTACAGTTTGCTTAAAATTACTCCACTTGGGTGAATAAACTTATAAGGTGTATGGATGATCGATTCGTTTTATTGGAGGTGGTGGTGGGGAACATGTTATGATACAGAAGCCTCATTATAAATGCAAATTCTGACTTCATTGATGACATAAGTAGAAGCATTATTGCATGAAATAATAATTAATAAAGGAAATAAAAAATAACTTAATGATACTTTTTTATCTATAGACTTTTTAAATGCTACTTAATTATCTAAATTTATATTCTATTTTTGATTTCAACGTCATTATGACACCACACCATCACCATCCTCTTCTCTGATCACCACTCACAAAAACCCTTCAAATACTACTCTCGTCAACTTTATCAATCATCGACAATTGAGCGATTAGAGTTTATACAGCTATCCCTCCCAATTCAAATTCTGATCAATTTCAATTATCAAAATCCAACATTCCACTACTAAAAAAATCATTGGTCTTCCCTTTTCAAAAGTCCTAATAGTTGGGATAGAGTTTGCTCTTTGTTTGTCATCAAGATATAAATTTAAATAATAAAATAATATTTTAAAAATATATGGGCACTGCCATTTAAACGATTATTTGGTTGAGAAAAAGTCGTTAACCGAACTCTTATAAATAAATACAGCTAATAAAAATCATAGAAGCAAACTGGTATAGTTGTATACTTGTATTGAGAATGGGTAGAATCCTTTGACCGAAGGCATACAAAATTTGACCGTTGAGTTTGCATTTGCGGCTGCTATTGATGCAAGTCAGACAGACACTGAATTTAGTTGTTATTATCTCCAAATTCCAATGAATATTAGACATTTATTTAGACTGGACTTCATAAATTTTAATAGAGAGTTGCTACCTCTGTCCCTAAAGTCTCAGCAATATCATAATAATGTTAATGTTATCATAGTATTAAGAAAAAATTAAATAACAAGCAGAAAGTTTGTTCTATATTTTTATTCAAACATCCACCGTTGATTAATCATGGGAAAGATGACAAATACAGTGATATATTAACATGTCAAGCAAATATGATTTTGGTCATTAAAACAAGAATTATGAGGAGTTTGGATCTTCTTGGGCTGGGCTAAAGCTTAGATTCTTTTTACTGTTTGGGCAATTCACTTTGACTTCAAATAAAATCAATCAATCAAAGAGCAGAAGAGACAAAAAAATTCTAAACAGATTACTCAATAATCCTAATTCTATTTCTTTTTCCTGCTTCCTACCGTTCGCCTTTGATAATGTATAAATTTACGACTGAGGGTCCTCTTGCTTTCGATTAAATTTACGAGTACTCAACTCCTGTGACTGCATCTTCTTTGTTGTAGAAACGAAAGAGGTTTTGACCTCTTATTTCTGGCTCTGCAGCCACCCAACACAGAACGCATCAAATAAACTAAATTATGTGCTTGTAGTACCTTTATTTATATTAATCTCACAGACCTAATACTATGAGGAAAACAATATCATAAATAGGAAAACAGTTTCTATTTACAATAGAAAACGTACTAACCAACTGAGAAAAGATAAGTAAACCCATCCCTCCCAGGCATTCTCACTTTCTTTTTGCAACGCAATTCCTAATCCAAATCAAAATTTAAAAAACGAAGAAACTACTTGGAAATCCATTTTTCTGGTTGATTTTTTTTTTTTTTTTTTTTTTTTTTTGTGATAGACTAGTTTGTCTGCATCTTAACTAATCCAAATTACCTTGTGTTAGTAAAATTACTATTATAAATAAAAATCAGTTTAATCATGTTTTAAGTATAAGAAAGAGAAATATATAATTCAGATCAAACAATTAATTAGAATTTTTTCCGAGTCTAACTTAATATATATATTATATTTAATTAGGAGCTAATTCTGTGATCTAAATAAGGTTCTTTTTGAATTCAAGTTTTTGTAATAAATCCTAAGCAGAGGTAATGTAGAACAGAAATGAATTTGAGATATTGACACTTACTTCCTTTACATCTTTGCTCCCTTGGAGATGGAAATGTCACCATAAGGCTCCTTTTGCTCAACTTTTAGGTAATCACGAGTGGCAAGGACTGTACAGAGATTAGCATACTCATCTCAGTTATTTATTTGTTGACTTGTTTTAAGTTGAGGGTTAATTAAGAACGGTTCTACAAAGAAGAGGGTGGGTAACATGTATTTATACATACCACATGTCTGATAAAAGAGCATAGCTGCTCCTTTTCGGTTCAGTCCAGCAGCTAGTGCGTTCAACGATTCTTCTTTAGAGGCTCCAGGTGCGTCAAAATGTGTTTTGATATTCCTGTAGGTGTTTTAAGTCCAAGGAGGATATATTAATTGATAATCCAATTGGAAGTTACATTTGCAGAACTAATAGGAATCCAGCAGGTTTGAGATTAATCATACATTCGAATAGCATCAGTAATCTTGTCAAGAGCAGGATTGATGACAGGAAGCTGAGTTTGTGTTGGTCCAGTTTCCACAAAAAATTCTGTAGAAAAATAAACAGAGTAATCAAGTCCTCTTTTTGGATAAAGAACGATTATTCCAACTTCCTCCTGATAAAACACAAAAGAATAATTCAAGAGTTATTTACCTGGGTCTGGTGTAGAACCATTTTCAGCTAGCCTCGATAAATTGAAATCTGGTTCAGGATACTCAAATGGTTTTTCTTCTTGGATAGGTTCAAGCCCATTGCCACTTTGTCCAGATGAAGAAAAATGCCTTTTTTGGTTGGACCTGTTGACAATCAGAACATCCAATCCAATAAATCATTTAGAAGCACTAGAGTCTTACGCCATGTCAGATGATATGGCTCAATGTATTTTCTATGAAATTTAAATGTGCGTCAAAACTTATTTCAATAATCTTTCTAATTGATTACAGTGGGATGTTTTACTAACCTGTCCGGATTGAGTTCTTGGTTGCTGTGTCCAGATCCTGAGCTTTCAGACAAATACGCTACTGTAATTTTAAGACAAGAAAAAACTTACTAAAATGCATCATAATACTCATCCGATAACTTCAAGATTTTTACCAGGGAAGTGAGGTGCAAAGATTATAAAAGAAAGATGAACTAACCAGAATTTTCAGGTGTCACCATCACATTGGTCTCATTGGCCCTAAAAACCTGGTTGCGAAAATTAGCTGTCATTTCTTCTATGATGCCTTCTGTTGGTTGGTTTCCCCGTCTTCTTTCTATGGAACCACCTAGTGACTTGGAGCCAACTTCACTATGAATATCTTCAAAGGGCTTCACATTCAAAACCTAAATTAGACATAGGCTTAAATGTTTTTAACAGAAGCAAATTAAAAGACTGGAGTCCTACAAATCCTGCTGGTATTTGAGGTTGTACTCTCTCTTGTGCTGGTGCTGATGATGATGATGGTATTGGGAGTTGCGGTGGCGATAACGATGATGATGGATTTGGGGGTTGGGGTGGTGAGCTCTTCTCTGCAATCAAAGGATAATGTGATCTCTGTCCCTAGGTTATCTCCCAACAAGAAATATCTCAAGGGCAATTCATAAGTGAACTCTTACTAGATGGAAAATCATGACGCGGCGGAGTAATTTTCTTCCAATGCTCAAGAAGAGGAGCCGGATAGGGGATTGCTTGATTTCCTTTAATAAATAAATCATCTGTTAATACTGTAGGTGGCAACTCTATGAGGTTAGCTATCTTCACTTTAGACAAGATATCGGGTCTTAACTGCAACAAAATGCATAAAACTCATCTTGCATTAGGGAAAAGTTAAAAAATTCTTCTCTCATCATTAGAAGAAAAAACGCTTCATGCAACATTCTATAGATGTCCAGGGTTCAGGAAAAAGAAATATTGTCCAAGATACTGGGAAGTTTAGCAATTGAAAAACAAGTCGGTGCATCATTAACCTAGGCAGAGTCACCTTACTTAGCGGGAAAGAAGTTAGCTTTTAGATAAACTATAAATAGGATAAACTCTGAAATGAATATTGGAAAACAAACACAAACCTTCCTCTTTTTTCTCTTTCTTCCGCCAATATCTGAAGTATCTTGAAGCCAGGATTGGTAAATGTCACCAGGAATAATTGTTTGCTCGTAATCCATTATACAGGCCGCTGGAATTCTTGTTTTCTTTCTTAATGGTCCTTGCCTCTGTTGACCATGCTTTATCCAAATCATCAAGGTTGGTCAAGCTTGTCATGTTTTTGTCATAATGTTTACACAAGGATGATGTTCCACGTAATTGAATTATTACCTGTCTCCATTCTTTGCTTTCATCTTGTTGATTGACATGGTGTTCCGGATGCTGGTCATGGGTTTCATCAACTGTTGGAAGGTTTGGAGCTGAGCATAGCATCCATCTTGATTTTTCTATGCTATTTCTTTGTTAGCATACACAACCTCGTATGTTTTATATCTCATATTTAAGGCTTTGGCCACCATGTTCAAATTAATGTTTTTTTTACAGTTGTTAAAAATACAGCAGCAAAAAGGAAAAGCATTAAAAAAAAAACAAAAAACAAAAAAAGAATAACCACAACATAATATGAGTTGGTCATTGTTAGTGAAAGCATGATGATGGGCAGTTTAATAAATATCTTATTACTAGTTTACCAGATGTTAAATGCAGCGATACTAGTAGACTAAAATGATATAGAGAGGCTTAGTGCACCTTTGATGGGAGTCCCTAACAAGATGAACCAGGGAGAAAAATCGCATGATTCCGAAATTGAATATTTTATGTAAATTCTCATTCGGGATTCTAAGTTTCAGGGCAAGCAACAAGTTGAGTGAAGTGGTTACCAGGCTGCTGACCTCTTTGAGGCTCATCTTGAGGGGGTGGGGAAGGTATAAAAGTTGATGGCATTTGCTCCATGTCCTCTTCAATGTCAAATCTATCACACCACCCGGAAAAGCATAATTATAGATATCTATAAAAAAGTGAATAATATAATTTCAAGGAAATCCCAAATAGAGGATGAAAAGAGATCACTTGAGGCTCCATGATACTCTTGAAACATCAACTGCTTTGCTTGTTCTCAAATTAATGTTGTTACCCATAAAATATTTATCTAACAATGGGTCTTTAACTATATAATGAGAGTTAACGTAACAATCAGCAATGTTAACCTATCATGGATGGAAATCTACCTTTCAAACCGATAGAACATGTTGTTGTTAGCCTGATGGGAATCAAAACGGTCAGACAAGGTGATATTATCAACATCAACTGAGAGAGAAGATAAAATGTTAGCATGAAGGGAATAATTGGATTCTGGTCCAGTTATGTATGCCCATGGTGATAATTAATAATTAGGGAGGGAAAAGTTAAGTTTTACAAAAATAACCTTGATGGAAGTTTTGCAACGGATCCTCCTCTCCTATATCGTTGTGAACATAAGTTTCATCCAAGTCATCCAGCCGCTGACACAAAATGCAAGAAATTTAAGTGGTATAATATTTTTTGGCAATTATTCCACGAAAGCTTTTGAACACTAATGTCCAAAAATTCATTCTATTTTGGTTTGTTTATCCGCATAGTTTAGTGTCTCATACATGGGCTTCTACCTAACTGGGGACTCTTGAAATTGAAAAGATGAAAATGCTGAGGATGAAAAATTTCTTTTTATCTCTTCCGGATATCATAAAAACTCAAACAAAGCCAACAAGAATTTTGAAGGGACCTTCTCAAAGAACTAACAAGTTCTCAAAGGCATCTCCTAAATTTATAAACAAGCAAAATTATTGAAAGGATACTAATAATTGCACCGTTTAAAGAAAATTTAGTCTAAAAAACTGAGGTAAGGACATTTTTGGTGAAGCTTAGATTGGAAGAAGTCTACATTTGACATGTAAGCTATTTCTGTTACCCCAAAAGCAGAGGAATTATAAGAATTCATTTTGAATTCTAGTGTTCGTCTATCCTACATCTTGAGCAAAACTTGACAGGGTGAGAGACCACATTTTATAACCCTGATCTTTAATGACTAGGATTTTGCACTCGAGCCTTGAATACACACATAACTTTTTTGTTTTTTGGTCTGACTATTGCATCAATGGGTAATCGGGTTCATTGATCAAACACATCTCAATCACACAAAAAGTTTCTGCAACAGTTTTTAAAGTGTTTATAAATGTGCTATTACAACTTAGTAACTTACCATTGCACAGAATGTTGTTTGTTGGAACTCCATCTCAGCGTTTGAGAAATTAAGGGAAGGCTCAATATCCTCAAAATCTGTCTCTCGATTCTCAGGCAATGTAATAGTTTTTTTCCTAAAAACATGAAAATCAACAATCAATAGCAACAACGACATTTCTATAACAAATTAAATGGTTTTGCCATAAGAGTAAATAACCAGTAATGTTCATTAGGTCTCTTATCTGCCGTTTCAAATACAAACAAAATATTTTTTAACTCTGGAAACAAGAAGCATCCATCAACAAAGAATGTGCAGAGAGTATTTGCTACTGAAAATATTACCCATTTGTTCGGCAATTATTCACAGAACCTAACGAATAGCTTTAAGCCAGAATTATTTATTTTTCAAGATTTTGATGAGAACAGTCGTAATAAACAACTTATGATATCTACTTGGTGAAATTAACTAAATACATATAGTTCAATAAGATTTTAAATTCTAATTTGGAACAAAGAAATGTCTCTCTTTTAACTGTATAAAGCAAACAAGAATGTCTATATATTCACCAATACTTCCAAAAGGCTACGTTAGAATATCTAATTCCGATGGTACCAACTCCACCTAAATGTTAAAGTAAAACACACAGATATTATTTAACCTTGTGAGTCATTAATTTTTTCAAAGGATGCTTTAACCTTTTCATCCACCATATACACATTTAACTCAAAACAATACTCTTCTAATCCTTACGTGTGCTGTTTCAATTTGCAATTGTAAGTTAGCTCCAATGAAATGGGTCATGTTTTGTTGCCTATAGAACATCCCTTCCGCATCAGTTTCACTACACTGAATTGTATTCTAAACTTTAGTTGGTTAAATTCACAAGCTGAAACCACGAAATATTTGTAACAACTTTCAGGGCTAGCTGCTTACCCAAGATCAACTCAGTTGAAATAACTTAAAACAATAATATGATGATGATGATAACCATCTGGTTGTAAAAATTCTGAAACTACGCCGTTTCGTTTTGTTTATTTTATTTATTTATTTATTTTTTTTAATGCTAAAACCAAATTGAGCTGATAGTCAAGAAGAGAAATGGTTAGTGGTTACTTGGCTTGTGATTTTCCTTTGGGGAGTACCGTTGGATCTGCAGCTGCTTTTACCTTCCATGCTTCATTCATTTCTACCTAAAACCATTAATCACCGAAGTACACATAGTTCAAACACTAAACATTGCTACTGATAAGTGATGAACAAATTGAACGAATATATAAAAAATTTCACGAAATTTACCAGGAGTCGATTAACATCATCTGTAAAAACAAACAAACCAAAAAAGTAAAAAAAAAGGCATTACATATTCAAAAAGTTCTTATTCACAGATTCTAAACAGTAAGCTGAATATTTAAAAGAAATTACCATAAAGGAGTTTCACTTTTCTTTCGTACACAATCACAACTCCACCTGAAAAAATAAAATAAATACGTATATGTGATTGGCTAATTTAAACGGTCGATGGAAATATGAAGTGAAAAATTAAAAACAGAGTTAATAATATGTTAATTACCCATGAGAATTCCAGAGAGTCTCAAAGCCAAAGGAACTGGTGGATTCAAAATCTCTTCACTGCAACATACACACACATAAAAAAGAAAAAAAGATTTAATGAAATTAACTGAGCTCGTAAATGCCAAACAGAGTAAGAACAGATATACAAATAAAGAAATAGCAAATTAAATAACTATAACCAGATTTGGATGATGTTAAGCTTCTCCAGCTTCTTTCGATTCATTTTCGCTCTCATAGTTGCAGCCATCCTTCATTGAAATTGAAATCATGTTCATTAAATAAAAAAAAAACAAAAAGAGAGAGAGAGAGAGAGAGAGAGAGAGAGAGAGAGATAAAATATCAATAAACTAATTAATTTCATAAAATAGAAATAAAATCACCATATCTGTCCCATAGAAGCTTTGCGAGCTAGAAGTTGATGAGAGAAGAACATTTTGATGTCGGTTCTTTGAAACTAGAGAGAAATGTGAAGAGTTAATGGCGTTTGAAAGAAAGAATGAAAAAACAGAGCGTTTGAAAGAATGAACGAAAAAACAGAGTATAATCAGAGAGATGTCGAAGAGCCTAATATGCGCTGTGTGATTTTTGTTCTCTACAACGAGCTAATCATGTCTACTATATACTCTACCCGCCATGGCACTGAGAGACATGCCCGAGGAGAGAGAAACGCAAAAAATGCTTTGAACTGATAAATTCACCAGCATTTTCTGGAAATTTTCGTACTTTTGAGTTGATATGAAGACACGTGTACTGTGTTGAGTAGTAGAAAGTTGGGGTTAATCGTCGTAGGTGGGTGACAATAGAGAAACTGACAGCGTTGGTTATTTTCTGGGGCCCACTATATCTGATGTGGACACACGCTGCAAGCTGCTTCCTGAGCACGGAACCTTGCTATTTTTATATTTCAAGAATTTATACTGAAATTTCTTAAAAATATTTTTAATCAAGATTTATTAAGTTACTATTGTCAATCACAAAATTGAGGCACACTGAGAAGGCTGTTTTTAATAAATGATATAATTTTTCTGCATAAATAGAATATTTAATATCATTGTATAATGTAAATTTACTTTTGAGTTTGTTATATTAAACTCAATTTTTTTTTATTTATACTACTAAACCCAAAAAAATCACACAGCACATGTTAGGCTACTCCTAATCCTTCCAACAAAGAAACTACTTGGAAATTCTTTTTAATTTAAACTACTTTTCCTATTAGGATAATATGTTCCTTTTGTTTTCGGGTTGTATAGATTAGTATAAATAAGGGACACTATTTATTTTTCTTCTCATCTTTTGTTCTCTAATTCTCACTCACAACTCACAAATCAAAACACACAAACACCAACTAGAAATACAAAGGATGAATTCATTATTTGATGTGTTCTGTGCTTGTTATGCCTGGGAAAATAGGGCCGACGTGGCGCCCAGTTAAGTGCGAAAGGTCAAACCTCGGGAAGAGCTTACTGGCATTCTGGCGCAGCTGCGTCGTGTGATCATGGTAACACCCACAACTTGCTTCCGTCAGAATAATGGATGCACGTCAGGCCAGCTAGGAGTTGTGATGATCCCGCGTGTCCAATCCTTGCAGCAAATCATGTGAATTACTCTAAAAGAAAGATTTGCACGGATCATCCCACCAACTTACAGATTCAGTGATCATTATCTCAAGGCATCCCACTATAAAATGGGAGCTCCTCTCTCATTAAGGGGATTCGCACATTTTCCTCTTGACAAAAACTCTCTCTCTCTCTCTCTCTCTAGAAAAGACGGTCTTTGATACCTTGTATCATCAGTGTAAAGTCAGTCATCTAAAGCGACCTGACCATTATCATTAATAAAAACATCAGTGAACGTAGGATTTGCTTCCTTAGTATCCGAACCACTTTAAAACTCCTTTCTCACTGCATTTAGTGTCATTTTCCTTTCCATTCACGTGTGTCTTTTGAGCCAACTCAACATTTCACACGTGCGTTTCGTTGGTGTCAAAATCACGCATCAACAGTGCTGGTTGCTTGAGCCTAAAGCGAGAGCGAGCCTCTTTGATTTGTGCAACCAAAGAGAGTAACAATACGCAGGTGCAATCACAAGATTATTTAAGTAATAGCCTTAACTTGAATAAGAAGCAAGAGGATCACACATCATCAGAGACGAGTCGTGGGAAGTTCATGTTTTCACCGAAGTTGGATGGACTGCACTATTTTGAAACCCTCGTCTTCTATAAATAATTTACGTACGAAAGAATTAGATGCATGCTCACAACATCGATTGGAATTAGAATGATTAGATATATCGAAAAAAAATTAAAATATTTTCTTTTCTGTTATTTTATTCGTTTATTGATAAGTACTTAGGCTCCGTTTGTTACACTCTTTCGAATATTATTATAGGTTTTTCCAATAAAGTTAAACAGTAAAATTGATTTATTCTCAAAATATTATTCTATATTATTCAATTTCTTTTAAACCCCCCTAAATTTGTTAATTTAACTAAACATTCTCAAATATTTTTTTTAGAAATTGCAAAAACACCCCAGCAACCCACATTTACCAGATTCCGACCACCACTGCCGGAGGCTGGCCAGAATATGGTATAATGGCGTACTACCGGCTAAATCTAGACGGTAATGCGCCGATCTAGCCTTTTCTGGCCAGATCCACGGTGGATCTAGCCAAAAAAGGCTAGATCTATGACCAAAGATATGGCCGTCAACGGTCAGATCTTTAGCCGTAGCCAGTTGTCAACGACGGCCAATATATGGTCGTCGTTGACCATTAACGATGATTGTATCTTTGGCCATCGTAGACGACCAAATGCGGCCAAATCTAATTGTCAATGGCCAGATCTAGTAATAGATTTGGCCTTTTCCGGCCAGATCCACCGTGGATGTGGTTGAAAAAGGCCATATCGGCGCACGACTGACAAGATCTAGCCGGTCATGCGCCGATACGGTGACTCCGACCACCCTCTGGCAGTGGTGGCCTGCTGTCCGTATTTAATGGGTGGGTTGGGGGTGTTTTTGTTAACTTTTAATATTTAATTATATGGGTATTTAGTAAATAAACAAACATAAGAGGTATTTTTGTTAATTTCTAAATCCTACATCGTAATACCCACCCAATTTAACTTTTTTCAAAATATTATTAAAAAAAGTATTAGAATAATGAATCAAACGAACCTTTTCTTGGTTTTCAATAAAGGAATATCTTTAATTTGAAAGTACTTTTTGTTTGTTTTTCTGTTTGCTAATTTGAAGGAGATATATGATTTCAGTTCTTAATAACAAGAAATCTTATCAACTAAACAAGTCATTAGTAATTTTGACAAACTTTTGTCTAGCCTCTGGAAACAATAAATTGAATTTGGATAGTTCATAATTCACTAAAACTTTATATGGATTTATCGTAATGAAGTTATCAAAGTTCTCTTAATTGAGACCCTGGATTAGAAGGTGGAACATACAAGAATTGAAGTATATGTTATATATTTACAATAATTTACAAGCGCGCGCACACACACACACACACACACACACACACACACGCACACACACACACACACGCACACACACACACATACATATATATATATAAGATTTAATGGAAAGTGAAAAGGAAAAAGGAGTAGGGATTGTAGGGTTAGCTAATCACAGTTGGCTCCCACCACAAGAATCTTTTCTTAGCTAATCGAAGACCATCAATTGACCATTGTCATTTTTTACCAAACAATTGGTGTTCAGATTTTTGGCATCTATGCAATATATATGTATGGGTGCACCGAGCATAGTTTACCATAAAGACAATTTGGTATCCAAAAAGTTTGGAAATAACAAAGACCCACTTCCCGTAAGGTTCTGTTAGTGAATTCCGTCAGCCGAAGGACAGTGTGGTAATTTCTTATTCGACTGAAAAAAACCATCCCCAACCTAATCCTTATGCATTTTTCTCCTTTTCCAAACTATAATCCCCATTCCCCAAAACCAAAAGTTAAAAAAGTTTTCAAATTTTAGACAAATTCATATTTATTTAGATTTTAAACAAAAGACAAACATTGAGTTTACCTCGTAACCTTATGACAGACACAAAATGCAAAGAAAAACGGGGCAGTTTATTAAAAAGACATTTGGAGTTAAAATTTAATTAAAGGGCTATGTAGTTTGTAAATGTTAACTAAATAGCCTTATTTTTTATTAAGCTTAATTAAATATGATTAGGGGTTAATTAGGATTAATGAATAATTATGTAATCTTTTAAAAATTATAATATGTCCCCAAAGAGTCGAAATTCTTGCCAATAAACTCAAACACCTTCTTCTTCTTCCTTCCGCCACGTTAATGCATTCCTCTGCCATTAACATCTTCTCCAACACAGATCCTTCTCCTCCTCTTGACATTTCGTCCAGGTATGTGTATCTCCCTTTCGATTTCATATTTCGATTTACAAAGATCTGGGTTATGATTTTGATTTAGTTGTTTAGGTTGTTGGGCTATGTTTGATGTAATGGAAGTTGAAATGAGTGAAATATGTTGAAAATTTGTTCTTGGAATGTGTTCTGGGTATGATGGATCGATTGTAGGTGAAGATGACTGAAAATGTGTTATGGGTATGATGGATTGCTTAAGCGATCTGGTGTATCACTTAAGTGATCTGGTGTATCGCTTAAGCGATCTGGTACGTCTGGTAATGCAGCAGATAGATCGCTTAAGCGATCAGGTATGTGGCATAAGGTCGCTTAAGCGATACACTAGACCATATAAGTAACTGTGCAGATTCTTTTTAAAATATTTGAACCCTTAGTTCAACATTTAAGAATATTTTTTTCTTGCATTACAGGTAGTTGGCTATTATTACACATGGGACAAGTTGTTTTGGGTGTTGAATATTTTGGTGAGTGGGTGGAGGAAGAAAGTAGCTGGAAGTGGATTGGAAAGAGCAAAGAAGTTATACCAATTGTTGTGAGCACAGAGGTTAGTTTTGATGAGTTGATTGATGAAATAATTAGAAGAGGTAATTTGAGTTGCTCGCGTAGTAATATAGTTGTGAAGTATGTTTTAAGCAGAGTTCCTTAACATTATAAGGTATCTCCTTCTATATTAAATTTGGATGAAAGTGTGAAGTTATATATGATTGATGTGGCTGATAATGGTTCGAGGCCGATTTTAAGGGTTTTTTTTGTAGAAAAACCGTTGGAAGTTGGTTCAAAGGAAGGGGATAATGAGGAAGTAGGCAGAGATTTGCCTGATTTTAATTTGAACTACGAGGCCATTAGTTTGTTAGTTGAAAAATCAAGAGTAAACGGTAAATTGGGTGGTGAGGAGGACACTATAGAAGAGGTTGGTGATGGGGGCAGAATGAAAATGTTGAGGAGGAGGACACCGTAGATGTTCCCACAGATATAGAGATTCCTTTAAATATAGATTATGCAGAAGACGTAGATTATGAGGAAGAGAACACTATGGTTGTAATGACTGCTTTATACTAGGATACTCATAGAAATATATCAAGTAGAATATATTTATATTAGCAAAAGTAAATGGGCCCAAAATTTTCTTTTATTATATA